CTTTCTTAAAATAACAAAAAATGGATGTCCACCATGTAGATCCTTAAATAAATATTTAGATACTTTAACACTTAATAAACAAATCACTATTTTTTGTATTAACATCAGTAGTGGGGTAAGTAATGACGTGAAAGAGTTTATAAATAATAATTCAATAAAATCAGTGCCTTTTCTTGGCTTTATAGAAATTACTAAAAATAAAGAGTATAAAGTTATAAACCAGATAAGAGGATTTTATGATTCTAACGGTAATCAAAAAAAGGAAGAAACCTTAGCATTTATTGAAAGATATGAATAAATTTATTCAATTCATACTTTATCTAAAAACTCTTTTTTCTTCATATTCATTCCCTCAGAAACACCATTAACTATCTCATTAAATATTCTTTTCCTCTTGAGTTCAATTTGGTTTATTTTCTTTAAATTATTTACAGTTTTATTAAAAATTTCCTCATTAACACCTTCTTTAATATTCTTATTTTCCAATAAAAACTCTTTAAAATATTTTATCTTCTCTTCCATTTCTTCATTAGTAAGCATGTTTTTAAAACTAGTTACTTTTGAATTGAGTGTAGAATTTAAAGATTTCAATTCTTTAAGTTCTACTAATTTAGTTTCATATTCAGCTTTATATTCTTCTTCAGATTTTTCATACTTTAAATTACTCTGATTTAAATGGAATATTTTAGTTTTATTGTTAAGCTTAATAGTAATTAGACCTTTGTTTTCTAAATCAGTAATTATTTTTTCAATTATAGTTTTTTTATATCCTTTAAATTGTAATACTAATTCATTAAGAAAATATGGTTTATTACTGTAATAAAAAAGTGTATAAACATTATTTCTTAATTCTTTAAAATCTTCATCCTTTTTTGTTTTACTTGTTGACATTTAATAATTTTTATTAAAATTTTTATTAAAAATGAATTCATTTGAAATTTTATTTAAACAACTCAATAAAATTCTAATAAAAGATACTTCAGCTATTTTAATAGAAATTAATAAAGCAAGTAAATTTACTTTAAACATAAATAAATTAGATATAAGTTATAAGAAGTTTAGTAAGGAATTAGAGTTAATTAAATTTATAAAAAAAATGAATTTAGAGTATCAGATAGAAATTAGAATATTTGAGGATGTTGATTCTAATGAATTATATAATGGCATTGTATTTGGTATTGATAGACTTATTTTAGAGAATTAATTTTAATAAAATTTATTTACATAATTTATGCAGATTTTAAATATAGCAGAGAAACCTTCAGTAGCTAAATCAATATCAAATGTTTTATCTAAAGAAATTAGATTTGTTAAAGGAGCACATAAATATTGTCCAAATTACATGTTTAACTACAAAGGTGACAGTATGATATTTACGAGTGTTTTGGGTCATCTTTATACAAGTGAGTTTGTAAGACAAACTAAATGGACTGAAATTGATCCATTTGAGTTGCTAAATGACCCTATTCATAAAGTATTTAATCCTGAATTTATTAAAATAAAAGAGAATATCCATACATACGCAAGTCGTAGTGACCTTATTATAATCTGGACTGATTGTGATCGAGAAGGAGAGAATATAGGTAAACAAATATCAGATATGATTAATGAAAGGTATAATAAGAGAGTAAAAAGAGCTAGATTTTCAGCAATATCAAGTAATGATATAAAGAAAGCTATTAATAATCTATGTGAGATTAATTTGAATGAATCAATAGCAGTTGATTGTAGAATGGAATTAGATTTAAGATTAGGAGCTGCTTTCACCAGAATACAAACACTTAATTATCAATCAGTAAATACAAAGAATCAAATAATATCATTTGGTCCTTGTCAAATACCGACATTAAATTTTGTAGTTGAAAGATACAAACAAATAATCAATTTTAAGCCTGAAAAGATGTATGGATTAGAAATAAAGATAAAAGAGGATATTTTTAGTTGGAGTAGAAATAACGTTTATGATAAGAATTGTGTTATTAATTTCTATAATATGTTAAACAGGAGTAGTTTTATAGTAAATAATATTAGTAAGAAGGTAGTTTATAAGTATAGACCATTTCCATTAAGAACTGTTGAATTACAAAAGATTTGCTCAAGTTATTATAAAATCTCATCACATGAGATAATGGAAATAGCAGAACGATTATATAATCAAGGATATATAAGTTATCCACGTACAGAAACTGATATGTTTCCTAAAAATTTTGATTATAAAACTATCATATCCAAATTAAAGGAAGATACACAAGTAGGATCCTATGTTAGCTTGTTTAAATTTAAATGTCCTAAACAAGGTAAACATAATGATCAAGCACATAATCCAATATACCCAATAAAAGTTTATGATAAAGATGTAAGTACAAAAGAAGGTAAAATATATGATTTTATAAAAAGAAGATTTTTAGCTTGTTGTAGTGAAGATGCAGTAGGTGAAGAATTAGAAGTGAGTATAAAAGTAGATAGGGAGTTATTTAAATGTAAAGGACTTAAAATAATTCAAAAAAATTATCTTGAAATATACTTTTATGATAAATGGACAAATAAGGAAATAGGAGAATATAAAGAAAATGTTAGTTATAAAGGAATATTAAATATTACTAACTCCACAACAAAAGCACCAGATTATTTAACGGAATCAGAATTAATAGCATTGATGGATAAACATGGAATAGGAACAGATGCTACAATACATGAACATATACAAAAAATACAAATAAGAGAATATGTTTATAAAAATAATAATAAGATAATTCCAAATGATTTGGGTGTTAATTTAATAAACGCGTATGAAACATTAGAATTGCCGATAACTAAACCAGATTTAAGAAAGAATTTAGAAATAAATTTAATAAATATTTCAGAAGGTAAATTAAATGGATTAGAATTAGTTAGAAGAGAAATAAGTGTATTTAAAGGGATTTATAAAAGATTAGAAGTTGATATTAAAAAGTTTATAAAAATTTTAGTTAAAAATTTAATAGAAAATAAAAATTTATTAGAAAATGATAATTTAATAGAAAATAATAAGAAGTTTAAAGAAAATATTAATAATGAAATAAAAATTTTTTGTAAGTGTAAAACAGAAGTAATTAAACTTGAATGTAAAAAAGGTAAAAACAAAGGAAGATTGTTTTATAAGTGTAATTCCGAA